CAGGGTTTCTCTGCGTAGCTTTGCGCCTTTCCTGGAGCTCACTTGGTAGCCCAGGCTGGCCTCGAACTCACAGCAATCTGCCTGGCTCTGCCTCCCGAGTACTGGGATTAAAGGCGTGCGCCACCACCGCCCGGCCAAAATATACTTTTATAAGAAACGAGGGGATATAAACCTAGTGTAGTTCAGTTGGAGAGTGAAGGCCTCCTCCATTTCTGGTTTTCAATGAACTCATCCAGACAGTTCACCAGTTAATCCCAGCACTCAGAGGCAGGCAGACCTCTGTGAATTTCAGGTTAGTCTGGTCTACACAGTGAGTTCCAGACTAGTTGGTTCTACACAGTGAGACCTTGTTTCAAAAAAAAAAAAAAAAAAAAAGTATTTTTGAAGGCCGAGGAGACGGCTCACTGGATAAGAGAACCCAATGTGCATGCTTAGTTTGGATCCCCACCACCCATGTAAAAAGCCTGAAATAGCCACACATACCTGTAATCTAGCACTGAGGGCAGAGGAGGGATGTGACTTGGTGTCAGAAATAATAGTCATTTTGGTGAAGAACATCTAACCACAGTCAAATTGCTACACAGTAATAGGATGCAAGTAGTACAATTACCACACAGTGATAGTGTGATAATAATAACATGGGGGCCAGAAAAGTAAGAGGAACTCTAAGACGAACCAAGAAGAAATTCTGCAGATGAAAACTAGGAAACTGTGTTAACTACAATTTACTAAAAGAAGAATTCTATAAACAGCCAAATTCCCCTTTAGTCATGAAGTGAACATAAACGCATTCTCAGATAAAAAGTTTATGGCTAGCAAGCCCACCTCATAATAAGGACTAAAGAAAGTCTTTCAAGTGTGAAAGGAAATGGTACCAGATGGTAAATTAATTTGAAACCGATAAATGGCAAGTACAGAGGTAATAAAGTCTGCATAGACATTAACACACCCAAAATGACCTGGTGTCATACGAAGTATTAAAACAATGTGTTGATGGGTTTCCATCATAGAGATGTAATAAAAATGGCCATTATGGCACAGACGAGGGAAAGCTAACAGCTGTGTTAAAGCAGTTTCTCTATTTTATCAAAGCTAGGTTACTATTAATGTGAACTAAGTTTGGGTGCATCATTAGAGTATCTAGTAACCATAGTCACAAAATTAGCAAAATAATCAATATAACACAATAAAACAGCTATATAGTACTAAAGGAAGCTGTTGAGAAATAAAAGTGGAGAGGGGGGCTGAAACAAAATGTCCAAAAGAAAACTGCTCAAGGCTAACAACATCAGGAAGTGTGCTAAATATGAACGACCTAGACCTTGTAGTTTAGAGGGCAGACGATAGCCTTAATGAAAGGACACGTTTTTGAGAAGGGGTTCTTTCGTTATGGTAGCCCAGGTTGGCCTTGAGTGTCAGGGTTCTAGAGCCTCAGTTTCCCCGGTGTTGGGAATGTCAGCATTTAGCATCATGCTGAGATAAGGGGGAGGATTAAAACTGTGGTCTCTGGTCCAGGAGAGGAAGGTAGGAGATGCAAGGAGAGGAGAAGAAAGAGGAGGGTGAGTGTAGTGGAGGGAGGGGGGGAGGAAGGGGGGAGGGAGGGAGGGAGGGAGGTTGGTTGGTTGCTCATCCCAGTGGGATTGCAAGTAGAAGTTACATTCACAGAGGACATGAACCTGTGTGTTGAAAACCCCAGAAAGCTCATCAAAAAAAAAAAAAAGTAAATAAAGTGACTAGAATTAATAAAGTCTTACATGTTATAGAAAATAACATTACTATTAACATTATGTTCCCAACACGCACCCGACTCACACACTTTACTTCTACTCTACCTATTGGCCTTCGCCAATGACTAGCCAACAACCTAGTCAGTGGAACGTCATTTGCCAGGTCCCAGCTGTGGCACGACACTCAGGCCAGGCCAGCCCCTGCCTCTCAGTCTCCTCTTTGCCTCTGCTGAATCACAAATGAAGAGAGAAAAGGGGATGCTGGCTCCCTCCTCCCTCCCAAGAGCACAGACTAGAGTCTGAGGCCTGCTAGACAGAGTGCACAGGTGTTATGGGGAGGGCTCCAGGTATGTCTGCTCTCCAGCCAGCGGTGGTGTGGATTCCTGTGCCCCTGAAAGAGAAGAGCACAGATGAGACACAGTATAAGAGCAAGCATCCAGAATTTGAGCAAGCAAGGAAAACAGAATACCCTATTTTTCAAAAAAAGTGGGCCTGTCACCTTTTCCTGTACCTCCATCTGAGTGGGCACGTGAAGGGCAGAGGTGTGCTTCTCTTGAAGGCCCATTTTACCATGAATATAACTATGTATATTATATATAGTGCAAAAACATGCATAAGGGCATAGGGGTCTAAATACATCCATAGTTGGAAAGTTTATTAGAGGAAAGGGTAGCAGTATTCTGAATATGCTCCCCTGGCCAGGAAGTACCTGAAGGACATTAAAGCTGTCCCAGCCAGACAACCAGTACCACCTATTATCCCATGGGTCCTGTTTCACAGTCCACCACCATCTTTGCACCCTGCTTGGACATGAGCTGACCCATCCGGAATCTAACACTGCATTGTCTTTCTATCTTGACCATCCATGGACTGATATGTCGATGTAACCAACCGTCTTATTAAATAAGAAACACAGAAACAATGTAAAAGAGAAAGCCGAGAGGTCAGAGGTCAGAGCTCAGAGCTAAAATCTCACCCTTCCTCCTGCTGTCCCAGCTTCGTGAAAGAGACCTACTTCCTGTCTGTTCTTTTTTTTTTTTATAGTATGTTGTTCTGCCTTCTCATTGGTTGTAAACCCAAACACATGACTGCCTCGTCACTGTCTGAATGTACAGCCCCCTAGGTCTTAAAGGCATATGTCTCCAATGCTGGCTATATCCCTGAACACACAGATATCTATGGGATTAAAGGCGTGTGCCACCACCGCCACACTCTTGCTATGGCTCTAATAGCTCTGACCCCCGGACAACTTTATTTATTAACATACAATCAAAATAATATTTCAGTACAATTAGATTACCACCACACTGATACCTTCACCTTTACATCCTAATTATTACTCTTTAGGTCCTATTTGGGGGCCTTGTCACTGCCTCCAGGAACTAGCCTCCTGCCTAACACAAGAACAGTGTCTTACACTAACAAAAATCTGGATGCACCTTCTGTCCACCCCAAGCCTAGAGGCTCCATTCGGGGAAAGGAGGAAGTGGACCTGGGAATAACCTTGCACCATCACATTTCAGCAGTGTAACTGGTTCATCAAAGAGGATGGAGGCTCCATCTTGAGCCTTATGGCTGTGAGCTGTACATCTCCACTGGACACCAGGCCCTCGTCTCACAAGATGAGACCAGAGATGAACAGGGACATTGCAAAGCAAGGTTCTCAACCTGTGGGTTGTGACCCCTTTGGGAGTCATATATCAGATATTTACATTAAGATTCATAACAGTAGCAAAATTACAGTTATGAGGTAGCAATGAAAGTGATTTTATGGTTGGGGGTCACCAAAGCATGAGGAGCTGTATTAAAGGGTCACGGCATTAGGAAGGTTGAGAATCACTGGTTTAGAGGAAGGAGATTAGACATGAAGGCCAGAGGGGAAGAAATTATGTTATTCTACATCCTTTTCATGAAATGGCTCCTGCTTGCACTGAGTGAAGTGGACACAGCTTCCCAGCAGTATTTGAACATGAAGTCTAGAAGAAATGGCTTCCAATTTCAAACAGTTCCACGTGTACCTTGTGCCCAAGGTCTGGCAACATGTCTCAGTTTCCACTGTGGCATTCTTAGCCACATTGTGAGGCAGGCACCTTCTGGGGCAGACACCTTCAGAACATCCTTCCCACTAGTTTTAGCATCAACACATTACAGAAAGTTGAGCATTGCCAAGGGCATTTCTGTCTGTTATTCAGGTTTTTAAAGTGGGTACAGTATGAATTTAAACTAAGCATGCCAAGAAATGTATTAAACTCTTCCTTAAGCATGCTTAGGAATGTAGTGAAATTCTATACTGAGAATACTCAGGATACTAGGGTCTTCCTCCATAGAGCATGCTCAGGAATGGACCCACATGTCTACCCATATGTATAGGCTCCCCAAGTAGAGCCTCCATGCTTTATTTGTTGAAGGAAGGCATGGCCTTCCAAATTTGATACCCTTGATCTTCTCACCTCCTTCAGGTAATAAACCTTTCTCTTCTCTTTTATTTCATCTGTTGTTGTTTTTCCTCTTTTAGGAGGCCCATCACCCATCTCACAAATAAATCACTCACAAAGGTTTATTCTTAATTATGAATGCCCAGCCTTAGCTTGGCTTGTTTCTAGCCAACTTTTCTTAAATTAACCCATCTGTCTTTTGCCTCTGGGCTTTTCCCATTCTCTTACTTCTGTAAATCTTTCTCTTACTCCGTGACCTACTGTATAGCTGGGTGGCTGGCCCCTGGAGTCCTCCTCCTTCTCTGAATACTTCTTTCCTCCCAGATTTCTCCTTCTATATATTCTCTCTGCCTGCCAGACCTGCCTATCCTTTCTCCTGCCTTGCTATTGGCCGTTCAGCTCTTTATTAGACCATCAGGTGTTTTACACAGGCAAAGTGTCACAGCTTCACAGATTTAAACAAATTCAACATAAACCAAAGTAACACACCTTAAAATGATGTTCCCCAACACTCATCCATGATTATTTTGTCTTTCACTCACCGCCACGCGAGTCATTGATGCTGCCAGTGTTCTAAACTGTCAGCATAGCTCCACAGAACAGGTATCAGTCATGCTGTCCTCTACTGTCCTGCATCTGTATCATCACCTGCAGGGCCTAAACTGGCTGTGGCTCCAGCAGAGCAGTGAAAATCCTGCAGGAGAGATGGATGTCCCAACTTCCTCATACTCATATTAAGTGTCCTGGGAAGGAGAACAGAAAAACAGCCCTTCCTCAGGTGATTCAATCCAGAGGACAGGCATAAATGTATG